TGTGTGTACTTAGAATCTTAAATGTATTTATAATAAAAACCACTGATTAGAAACTGCTTCAATTGCTCTATGCTGATGTAAATGATGTACTATCTGAGTCTTTGTTGCTAATTTTTCTTCTAAACTACATGTCTGGGGGTATGTGTGAGATAAGATGAGTGGGTTGTCTGCATTTGTAATGTATTTGTATACTTTATGTAATGTAGTTCTGTTTGGATGTGTTTTATAATTTTGTATTTGTGTCTTTTGGTCATCTTCAAAAATGAGATGCTCTTTGGAGGCCTCTTTACACTGATCTCTTTCCTATTATTGTAGCATTTGAATTAGATCATTCAAGATGTCGTTAGATTTGTATTTTCTCTTCAGAGCTATGGCAGTTACGGAGGCTGCATTGGGACGACAAGAACTTGTGTTTGGTCAGCTTGGGTTGATTCCATTATGTTCTATCGCTGATAGTAAAAATAGCATTAAGTAAGCTCCAGCAGTGCACAGTAACCTTCTCATTTTCAACAACTAACTAGCACCAAAGTCCTTTTCACTGCAAATTTTCTGTTGCTGCAACCACTACTCTATCACAGCAAGTAAGAAAAACTTCAGTTTGGCATGAAGTTTGTCTTATTCTGACAGACGAATGGACATGTCCCCTCTTGTGGCTTGTCTTCTACACCAGTGCTTTTGAAATATCTGACTGCTAAAGGAGGAAGATAAATGACTAACTAGGCCAAGCCTGACAAGTCCTGTGTAATAGATACTTGCAAAATAAACATCGGGTGACAAATACAACTTGAGGCTGCAATGACATCTAAAAAGAAAGGTTAATATGACCCAAAGTTGGACTTGCAAATAAAGACTTTCATGTCAAACACATCGGCCTGATGGGATTGTTTCATCCCTTTGCCCAACCACTGCTGGAATGATGTTTTTAAAAAAACAACATTACAGAAAACACCCTGAAGCATTTTAAGTGGCTACTGAAAGATAGGAAGCCTTCATTGGTTGTTGTTTTTTTTTTTTTTGGTCTGAGGGGTGGGCATTATAAAAAACCCAAGCCTGCTAAAGTCTACCTGTAGCTGCACAAAAAATGGTACATTTAGGGACTGTACAGGTCAGACGGCTGTGAAACTATGGCACAGTCCTGGGGTGCAACATCTTTCGTGGCATTAGCTCTGCTTTGCTGCTTAGTTGGAACAGAGGTGGAGGCTCAAGACTCACCATGGTGGCAGCATGCAGCACCAATGACCAAGAGTGATCCATCTCCTCAGACACCGCAGGTTGGTCAACCTCCTCCACCACCTCCTCCATACCCTCAAACGTCGCAGGTCCAGCCTCCTGCATCGAAGTTTCTTCTGTATCTTCAAACGCCACAGGTAAAGCCTCTTCCACCATCTTCTCCATACCCTCAAACGATACAGGTCCAGCCTTCTGAACCGAAGATTCCTCTCTACCCTCAAAAGCTACAAGTCCAGCCTCCTCCCCCACCTCCTCCATATCCTCAAAAGATACAGATTCAGCCTCGACCACCACTTCCTCCATATCCTCAAACGCCTTTGGTTCAGCCTCTTTCACAAATTCCTCCATACCCTCACTCGCCACAGGTTCAGCCTCCCACACCACATCCTCCATGCCCTCACAAGAAACAGGTCCAGCCTCCACCGCCAAAGATTCATTCATATCCTGAGACACCACAGGCTCAGCCTCCACCACCACCTCCTCCACCACATGCTCCATACCCTCTACTGCCACAGATCTACCCTCCTCCAGCAAATATTCCTCCATACCCGCAAACGCCAGAGGTCCAGCGTCCCCCACAAAAGACTCCTTCAAAACCTCAAATGCCACAGGTCCAGCGTCCTCCACCACCTCCTCCATACCCTCAAACCCCACAGGTCCTGCCTCCACCACCTCCTCCACACCCTCAAAAGCCACAGATCCAGGCTCCTTCACTGCCTCCTCCATACGCACAAATGCCACAGGTCCAGCGTCCCCCACAAAAGACTCCTTCAAACTCTCAAAAGCCACAGGTTCAGCCTCCATCACCAAAGATTCCTCCATACCCTCAATTGCCAGAGGTCCTGCCTCCACCACCTCCTCCACCCCCTCAAACACCAGAGATCCAGCCTCCTCCACCAAAAATTCGTCCATACCCACAAACACCACAGGTCCAGCGTCCCCCACAAAAGACTCCTTCAAAACCTCAAAACCCACAGGTTCAGCCTCCATCACCAAACATTCCTCCATACCCTCAAATGCCACAGGTCCAGCATCCTCCACCACCTCCTCCACACCCTCAAATGCAACAGGTTCAACCTCCACCACCAAAGATTCGTCCATACCCTCAAACACCACAGGAACAGCCTCC